TTTTGCTTTTAAATTTTTCATTATGTGTTTTTTAAAACCTGAAGTTCTTACTGGATATAGTTCATGTTAGGGTCAGATTATGATAAAAAATTTCAGGTCTTAATAACACATAATTAAAAGCTTAAACCAAAAAAAAGAGTGGCGCCATCTTTCACTGCCCACCCACCCACCACCAGCGAGTCGCCACTGTTCTAGATACGCCACTTTAAAGTTAATTATATCGAATAGATAGAATATTTCCATATGACAAAAGCATTTTTTTCATTCTTTGCAGGCTTTTCTCAATACAGTATTTACCCAAAAAAAACCTACTGATTCTTCGTTTCTCAGATATAATGCGTCGAATATAACTAGAACTTTTTGTCTAAGTGCTAAATAATACTTAGAGTGACTTCATTTTCTTTCTATTTCAAAAAATATCATACTAGTGATTCTTAGCAGATTCAAGAAATGAGCTCTGTTCGAAATAAAATATACGGTTTTTATATTCGAAGAGCCAATAACCACAATGAAGTAGACACATGAAAGTATTTCTAGTATGTATAAAAAATTTAAAAAAACTTCAGCTTAGATGAATGTATCACCTGAGAGAAGGATGAACTAAAATGGAGATCAATTTTGACTCTTGCTATTCCTATTTCTCTCTGAAGGAAGCATCTAGAAAAAATTTGACAGAAGCCAATGAAGGTGGCATCCTCTATTAAAATCCTGTCCATACGCAATGGAGCTTGATAATATATTCACATATAAATAGAGGAAATTTTTCTCTGCAAATCAACATACATAATTTTCTAGCATCAAAAGCTTGTGATCGTGTCTTTACATTATCGATTTCTTGCAAATAAACTTTTCTTGTAGGTAGATCATTGTTCTCTTATAAATATCATATGCGTTGTTTATATACACAATAGTGATGTTTTAGAAAGCTTCTTTTTTTAATTGTTTACTCATACCAACAGATAGATCAATTACTTTTAGGTGAATTAATCTGTGAAACATTTTCGAACATCAGAAGTGTTGCTAAAATATTGTCTTATGCTAACCGGACTTAAAAAAATGTGCCATTGACTTATAAAGTTCCAACGACAATCTTCCATCAGATACAGTCGCACTAAAGATCAATGACTTATACTCAAATGTCCCAGTCATGGTTCCAGTAAATCTAATAGAATTCCAGTCTTTTCTGATGGTAAAACAAAATCCGATCAAAAAGTGCATATTCCAAGGACTCATTTCATTGTTTTACTTAACAAAAAACTTTAAAGAATTACTAAAACTAGAGAAAACCTTTTGTTTCTTTTTGTCTCATAGAAAAAGTAGCAATTAAAATTCTTGATAAAACCAAATTAGATAGTAAGACTCAACATTTACTTTTACGTGAAATAACTTCGATGGAAAAGTTATATCATCCAAATATAATACGCTTATACGAAGTTATTGAAACACCAAATCAAATTCATATTGTTACTGAATATGCACCCGGTGGTGATCTTTATACACGTATAAGCACAGGTGGAAAAATTCCTGAAGATGATGCTAAACATATATTTGCTCAAATAACGGCTGCTGTTGATCATATGGTAAAAGCAACGAATTTGATTTTGAATTATTTTTAAAACTAAATCATACCATTTTGTTTTTGTTTAGCATAGTAAATGTATTGTTCATCGTGATATAAAAAGTGAAAATGTCTTTTTTGCTAAAGAACGTCTTATAAAATTAGGTGATTTTGGTTTTAGTACATATTCAGAAAAAAATCAAGCATTGACAACATTTTGTGGTAGTCCACCATATGCAGCTCCAGAATTATATCGAGATGAAAATTATATTGGAATTTATGTTGATATATGGGCAATGGGCATAACACTTTTTTTTATGGTTACAGCTTTAATGCCATTTCGAGCAGAAAATGTTGGAAAATTAAAAAAATCTATTATTGATGGACATTATTCTATACCAGGACATGTTTCAAATGAATGTCAAGAACTTATAAGTGAGTATAGCAAAGATTATTAATTCATAAAAAATGCTGCAATCTTTTATCAGACGGACTTCTTAATCATGAAATAAATGAACGTTGGTCAATTAAGGAAATTCGTTCATGTTCGTGGCTTGCTCATCAAAATTTTCCTAAAGAATTTGATCCATTTTTAACAAATATAAATGATTATTCGATATCTTCAAATGAAACTACAATATCTACAGTACTACCAACAAAATTTTCTATTGAACATGAAACATTTTTAAGATTAGAAAAATTAGGTATTACATCTGAGCATTTACAAGCAATGAATAAAAATATTGATGATAATAATTTTTCTAATCGTGATAATATTAATGGAACATATAGAATTATATTACATCGTTTACAAAAACAGTTAAATGCTCTTGAACGAGATGATATGTATGAGAAAAAAATGAATGAAGATTTTTCTTCATCACGGCATCATATGATATCTTCGTATAGCAAAACCGGTGAACAACAGACTCAACTAAAGTTAAACCAATCTCAAGCACAAAATACAAGAGTGTGCATTATATTATAATTTTAATGTTTCTTTATTTCTATGCATTTATCTTCCATTTCAACTAAATATCTACCACAAGAGCTCTGTATAGGACTGGTAATTATGAATATTTTTTTTCTTTTATTTATTAAAAATAAAAAAAAAAACAAATGCTACGTATATTTATTTTTTGTTATGCATCAATAGCACTGTGTTGTTTGTATTTGAAATTCATTCTTATACAGTAATAGGTGTATTTGAAGTCAGGACAATTTAAAATTCTGTTTGCATTTATAATAGTTCCTATACGTCAGCAACAGAAGTATGTTGAGTTTTAACATGGTGTCTGGCTGTTTTCTCTACAGACATTTCTTTATTTTTAAGAAACATTAATTAGTTAGAAAAAATTATGCGAAGAAAGTCTTTCCTTAAAGAAACACACTGTGAAAAGATACATCTGTCATTTAACTGTATAAATATAGAAGAATATTTAAAGAGATCATCGTCGAGAAACAACATATCGAGTTACATACTTTAGACTAGAGTGCATGTTCAAGCTACTTGGATTTGGTACAAGGTAACTCGTGAGAAAAATGTTAAGTAAAGTTTTGAAATGATACGAATTAAATCGAGCATAGTTTAGTCAGAAATATAATGAAAGTAAAATTAACATAGGTCAATATGTTAGAATTTGATTAACTTGGGTGAACAGTAATATAACGTGAAGAATTGAATTCTTGAAATTTTTATGTATGCAATTTTCTTAAAATCAATAATTATATTTTTTAACAGTTTTGCTTATACTATTTTTATGAAAATGATTCGTCAATACTTATGTATCAATCATAAAGGAAACCAATTCACCGCTTTGTATTTTTAAATCGGGTAGAAAACAATACTTGAATATAAAACACAATTAATAAATATGAACTTCAGTATTAATAAAAAAAGATAGTATGATATTATTATTGTTATAAGTTTATGAAGAAGAATGATGATATAATGGCAATGGACAATATTTATATACATCATGTACACATGTAATACCACAATTATCATAGTAATGTTTAATAGTTTTTTCTTTTGTATTACACCATTCATTGTTCATCGCCGTGACTAAACCTTATTCAAATGAGTAATGAATGTTGTCTTTCTGTATATTTTCATTCATGAAATAATGTATTATGTAATGCACTAATGTGTTTTGTTGCTTGAATAGGCATATCTATTGTCTCTACTAATCCCTAACGTCTTACATTATGAAATTTTTCTTTTGTTTTTTCGATATATTGTACATTTTTTACTTTATTGAATGGTAAACTTATAGGGTAACAATTAAGTATAATACATGTGTAGTTCATTAAATTCTCTATGTCTCTTAGTAAATCCGAACTAGAGATATATAGGATAGGCTTTGTTCGTACCTTGTATCCTAACTGAGAGAAATTTTCTAAAGCATACCTTACCTTACTCTACTCTGCACATTTTTAATTCGAAGGACACAAGTAAGACGCTTTAAAAAAATGATATGTCTACAGCACTTTCTGAAGTACATGCTTTTGAATATTTGATTCGACGGTTCATCAAGTTGAATCCGAATGACAAAACTATTAAGACTTGTAACGACAATATTAAGTTGTGTTGTATTTTATAGTCAAACATTTCTTATATTAAACAAGTGTATATGTTGTACTGAAACTCTGCTTTACAGGCATATAATCATATTAAATTTATGTAATGTAATTTCACTAGCCAACTTAAAAATGAAACAGCAGTACAAGACTTTAGACGTCCAATGCAACAAAAAAGTTGGTGGGAATATTTAATTTTGTTTTCGGTAGAATAACTTTTGGATAACCCTTTATCTTAATAAAGGCAATATTCTATAAATTTATTTCAGCATAGTATCTCAAACTAGACTATTTGTCTATGAATGAAATGACTTGATGATCTAAAAAACGAGATGAAATAAAAATTTTTGAATTTTATAGCAAAATTAAAAAATTTTAAAGTCTCTCGATTTCATACACATCTTGAGTGTAATGCTATGCGAGAGATAGTAGTTAGGATTAAAATGTCAATTTCTTGCTACTTCTACATATATTTGAACATGTTATAGATGAAAAAAAGAAATGTTTTGTAAAATTTTTTTTCATGCTAATAGTTATTAAAACATAGATAAACATGATAGTCGTTATAATGTTATTTCTGTTGAATTATTTTTGTTCATGCCATTCCTATCTATAAAACATTATCTAATTTCCAATATTTTGATCTTTATTTAATTGCAATATGATAATAAAGTTTTTTTTGCTAATCGTCAATATAGAACTTCGTATATATATATGTGTGTGTGTTTGACTAGAGTTATATAGATAAGAAAACAAAAAACAAAACGGTCTAATTGAGTTTTCATACGCTATGAACAAAGAAACACTTTATACAATAAAAAAAAAAAAAAGAAGTCAAAACCAAAAGAGTCTGTTTTGTTTTCTAATAACTTTGCATCTGCATTATTTCATATTCTTTATTATCCGAACGCGATGAACCAATTGTACAACAAATACAACATGATAATAATAAACAAAAAAATGTTGTTAATGCTGCACTACATGCTAACCAAAAACTTAAACCAAAAAATTCTAAGTTTTGTAATGTTGGATTTCTTTCATATATCATTATATTCAATGGAATATTTCTTTCATAATCTAATAATATTTCTTTTTTCAATATCCATATATAAACAAATGATAATAAACCCATACAAATACATAACCATGCTAATAACATCCATAAATTATAGAAATAAAATGGTACACGTCGACATTTATGATGACAACAAGCAACAAAGAATAATGATATTATAGAAAGAAAAATAAACATTAACCCACTTGTAATGCCATAGAAAACACTTAATTTTAAATAATAAATTAAATTAAGATATGTAATACGTTGATTTGGATATGGATATAATTGAAATAATGATAAATCAATTTTTGGAGGATAAATATTAAATGGATTAAAATGTTTTTCTTCACATAAACGGTCATTATGATAGAAATTTCGTTGACTATTTGATGTATTGCTATAATCAATACAATTTAATTCATCACGAAAATCAGAACAATCAACAATGTTATCACAACGATGTTTTGGAAGAAAACCTATAGATAAATAAAAAATAATTTCAATATCGATAAACACATTTGTAAAGCGGATAGAGTCGAATTTTTTTGTTCATTAACTCAGATAAAATTTACATCAAATTTTTTTTTTTTGCTTTATTAAATCGAATATGTTCTACGAGATAGTTCATCTTTATACCTTATTTGATGAGACCACAATCCATGCAATTTTACAATTTCAGTAAAAAAGAGGCTGTCACTGCCGTAATAGTATTTTTGAAACACCTTCCAAGCCGCTATCAACTTCTTTGATATGTGAAAAATATCATAGAATTTTATTGTATCCATGAAAAAATCATTTTTTTGAATTAAACTCACAGATAATTACTATTAGAAAATAAAAAACATACACCATATATATAATTGACCTTTTGGTTGAGAAAGACATTCTTATACAAATGATACAAATCAGAATAGAATGCCTACAGATATCATTAAAGGTCATTGTAATCTATATAAAAATGACTTTTCCAACAGTCTATATTGTTTCGTTTTTATACAGAAATGCTTCATTAGCAATATTATCTTATAAGAATACTCATTGCCTATGTGTTTTCTTTTCGTCTTTTTGTATGTACATGTATTCATGTTTGTAATTTTTGTTTTCATTGTCTTTGTTATATTCATTTTATTTAATTATTACTATTTTCGTTAGTTACCATACTTTATTTATCATTCGCTCTTCATTGTTACACTTCTTCGTGACTGATACATTCAATTATTTAAAATTGTTTATCTCTTGACCTATTTTCTTTTTAGTTGTCTCTCATTAATGGTCATATTTTCTTTCTAATTTACTATTTACTCAATACAATAGATGAACCTTTATTCATATTCAGTTCATTATATTATCTGCTATCTCACCATGGCACTTGGGATTACATCTCAGATGAATTCATTCGATTTATATAAATTCTTAGATTTACCTTTTGACAGTAAATTACATAATCAAACTGTATTAGAAACAAGACAATACCCTAGAGCTAATCTTTCTGTCGTATGTCTTGACTTAATTTCCATTTTTCTTTTTACATAATTTCTAGTTAGTACAGTTTGAATTCGATGTTAAGACAAAAAAAAAAAAGAAATCTTTGAAGAGATAAAAATTCTAAACATATCTTCACTTACATTTTGAATCACATAAGAATGCATTTGTATTTTCATTACATTGTTGACAATTTTCTTCATCTGAATTATCTTCACAATCAACAATCCCATCACATCTCAAATAAAATAATCAATTAAATATATTTGTTATTTAAATATATAAATAATACCGATAGGAATTTTCTCGTCGAGCACATTTGTTTTCGCGAGAGCAATATACATGTTTATTTAAATGACATTTTTCTTCATTACAATTCTCTTCATCTGAATTATCCATACAATTTGATATGCCATCTTTACAAAAAAAAAAATTGAATAAAATTTTCTATATATTTTGAGTAACATACCACATGTTTGTTCATCTTTTCGATAACAAGATTTTCCATCAAGACATTCTATATAACCTATTGGACAATCTTGTACTTGAAGACTTGTGTCACATGATACTTCATCAATTTTATCTTCACAATCAATAATACGATTGCATTGTTTTTGTTGATCAATACAACGTGTTAATGGATTTGAAATGACTGAACTTGTTTGACAAGTAAATTGATAATCGGAACAATTTTCATTAGATAATTTTACTTGATCTTGACGAGAAATTTCATCTCGAAAATCAAATGAATTTGAAACAAGAATTTTAACATTTTGATATGCAAGACATTCACTTAATATACCACGTGAAATTGTTATAGGAATTAACATTGAATAAAGTCGAACATCATTTGAAATATTAAATAAATTTTCTTGAGGAATATTCTTAAATTTAGAAGAATGAAAAACTTTAAAAAAAGAAATCATTTAAAATAATACTTTTTTCAATGGAATCATCCACCAACTTGTACTAAATGCCACCCCAAGTAAACCAAGAGCAATTAATGATGGAATAAGAAGTAAAATTAAACGTGTACAATAACTCATTATGAATCTAAAATGAAAAAGAAAGTAACTAACTTGATGTTCACACTATCATTGTACGTCGTCTGATGCTCTTTATCATTCAAAATAGAAGAACGTAAAATAAAAAGTAAAAATCAGCTACACACTAGCTACATAGTGTAAAGAGGAGGTGATAGGACAGCCGGCATGTAACACAAACATACACAGACACACACAGACATCTGATTTACTTAATAACACAAACGAAAAGAATAACTATTTTCGATGTACTTGCATGAATGAATCACCAAAGCAAATATGTTTAATGCAAACAAAAATTCGACTTTACTTCTAGAATTATTCTTCCATCATATTAACCAATTCTTTGATCATCTTAGTCATTTTTTTTTTCAATTATTCTCCAACAAAAAATAAAACTAGATGCTATTTATATGCTTGCTTTCAATAGCAATATTTCTCACAAATGATAAAAGAAAAGATAGAAACCATAGTATGTTATCTATCTTTTTCTCTAGAGAATCGACTAATATATATGCATGTCAGTCACCCTCATTTTTTTTTCTCTAGTGCAATCAAATATTCAGTAATATATCACTGTAGGCTGTAAAGCTTGTTTGATAATAACATGCATTTAACAAATATCTTCCTATGTATTGTTATGTTATTTTTTAGTAAATATAAATATCTTGCGTTCATCAATATTTATCTTGGTGTACTATGTCAATTCATTAAGAAAATAAAATATTCAAAGATTTTTATTCAGTCGTATAGTAGTTAAAAGTGTTAGTAGTCGTACTATTACAACTAAATCTTTTATCTTTCGTTCTTCATCATAGATTATGAATAAATGAATGAAGAAGAAAAGAAATATAGAGATCATTCCAGTATAGATCATATTGATGACCTCAATTTGAACTTGTGAAGAATGAGATAGAAGAGAAAAAAAAAGATTGATGTGTGATGTGCTGCATTTGATTATACAAATATAGGCCAACTTAATTTTTATGTTCATCATGGTACACCATATACGGACAAATATGAATACAATAAATAGAAAATGAGTTTTATATGTCAATATCTTTTTGATTACATCAATCTCAAATCCTAATGATTAATCGTCAGGATAATTCTAGTTGGTTATCTCTGCGTATCAGAAAAGTCTAAGTTTTAATTAATATAGCTAAATATCTTAAACGCTAATGAACTCATTTTATATTTATGAATATATTGTCTGGTTGAACGATTTAATAATATTATTATTATTATTCTGATAAGCAAAGTCTTCATATTACTAAAGACTGTTGTTCTTATAATAGAAGTAAAGAAAATTATGTTGATGTACTTATTTAAAAAAGTTTTAGTTCAATTAAGTAAAATATTGTTGATATATTCATTGAACGAACTAGTTTTGTAGGCGAAATTGAGTTATAAAATTTAGTAAAATGAAATATGACTGTCTTTACACTGATCACCTATTCTACAATTACTTTGAATAGGCTCTTTAGTCATGACAAGAGGTCTAACGAGGAAATCTCTTCAGGTGTCAAATCACTTTTCTATAAAGACGACGTTCATTTGATGAATACTAGTGAAGTTTAGAATGGTTTGGTTTTCCAAATGTCATCCTTGAGATATCGAAATTTTACTAGGCTTTTTCAAGAAAAAGCCTGTGATCCCCCGACAGGTCACGTAAAAACGGACTTTTGAGATTTGACTTCAAATTTTACACGAACAAAGTTCTCAATGAGATTAGTTCATTGATAAAGTTGTAACTTTTCCAGTATCTCATATCCTGAGATATGGAATATTCGAAATTCTCTCATGTATAAAACCAAATTTTTTTCACTTGGCCACATCTTTTTGTTGAAAAACTCAGTAAAAATTTCAATATCTCAAGACTGAAGGCTTAGAAAACCAAACCATTCTACGCTTTTCTATATCTTACTACGTAGTACTCATTAAATGAAAATTGTCTCGGTTGAAAAGCGATTTGACACCTGAAGAGATTTCTTCGTAAATTTTGTTACCTAAAGTGTCTCTAGCGAGGATTTGAGAAGGTCACTTCTTCATCTTTAATAATTTGTTTTTTTGTTAATGATTATCAACATTTAAAGAATAGAATTTCCGTTCTCTCGATTGTTAGAAGTTGTCTCTCACACAAACTATCGTCTACTCTCCTAAAAATTGTCGATCTTGCAAAAAAGAAAACGTTACTCTGCCCCTTTCTATTTCGATCATGTCGAGACAGTCGTATTCTTTGCTTGTTAAAGAAAATTGTTTTAACTTGAAATACAGTTCATTTATGAACGTGATTCCATCACAAAAATATCTTGCAGTTTATTTTCAGTTAAATGCACGATTTTCTGAGTCTGCAAATGTTTCAATGTTAAAAAAAGCTAATTGGTTTATTATGTACATTCTGAGTTTCTTTTTACGAAGACCGTGACTATAAAATGGGGACAAATACACTTATCGACTCCCCGTCATGTATTCACCTAACTCGACTAATTAGCCTCTGAGGAATTCATTAAAAGTATTCCCAAGGATCCCAGATCAGTAGTTTAAGAGACAATGTGTATTTGTCCCGCTTGATACAAGCATCTCAATAGCTGAGGGTGAAGGCAAAATCTTGATACAGCCGCCAAAGGGCATCTCCATAGCTGAGAGTGCCATGAAATATTGTTTTATGGCACTCTCACCTATGGAGATGCCCTTTAAATATGGTTTACGATTTCGTGGCACCCTCAGCTATTGAGATGCTCTTTGGCGGCTGTATCAAGATTTTCTCTTCATCCTCACCTATTGAGATGCTTTGTAAGGCTTGTATCAAGCGGGACAAATACACCTTATCTCTTAGACTACTGATCTGGCGCCCTTGGGAATACTTTTAATGAACTCCTCAGAGGCTAATTAGTCGAATTAGGTGAATACATGACGGGGAGTCGATAAGTGTATTTGTCCCATGATTTTGTTACGAGGTTTTTTTACTCGCTCACAAACTATTGTTTTAAACTTTTAAGAATTTCTTTTTTTCCTAGATGTTGCTTTTCTATCCAAGATATAGTTTTCTACAAAAAAGTTGTTTCTTTAAAGTTCTAGTCTGTGGTCTGTGGTGATCTTTGACTGGAAGAGAGCAGTCCAAATTTTCATCACTATATTTCAACAATCCTTTTAGATCATATTTCACAAAATGTCTATGAAACTTTTAAACAAATACAATCATTTTCTTTGTTTTGCTTAGACATACATAGAAAAGATTTTGCTCTGATAATAGATCTTCAAATAATTTTTATTGGTGTTTCTTTTCTTTTCTTAGATGGCACAAATTAGGTTCTTGTTTTGTTTTCTCTCATTTTGTGTCAAACACTCCTCTCTCGTATCGAACATTAAAAAAAAAACCAAACAACATACATATACAATAAAGTAGAAAGAAATCAAAACGTACAAAGAAAAAGAATATATAGAAAGGTTGTTTTTTTCTTGTCTCATAGATAATACAGTTAAAAACATGAAACCAATGCGTACGTAAGTTCTCTTGAGTTTTTTAATACATAAAACAGAAAACAAGAAAAACAATAATACTCGCCGAAAGACTAACCATAATAAAGATAGAACGTGTTTCTTTTTGTTGTCGGCAAAAATGAGATTGTAAAAGAAAAACAAAAATTACAACACAAATCATCTCTCAAATCTAAGCAAATGTCGAAATATATCAGCCATAAAACAAGCATCGAAATGAAAAAGAAAAAAAAAAAGAGCATAAACACAATACAACAGAGAGCAATGAAATAAAAAACGGTAGAGAAAAAAAAAGAAATTGTTGTTGTTGTTGTTGTTTGTTTTTTTTTTCGTCGTGCAAGATGCAATATTATGCACCGGAATAAAGAGAGAGAATACATACACACAAAAACAAAAGAACTGTACAACATCGACTATATTTTATTTTGCTTTGTTTTTCTTTTAAATTATGATTTGTTAGTAGCAGATGCACTAGCTGCATTATTTTCTTGTTGTTTTTCGCCCATATTATCTCCACTCATTTGATATTCAGCAACATAAAGTGCTGGATCAATTTGTTTTGGTATTGGTTGAATTTCTGTACCTAATTCTTGTTCAATTTTATGTAATGAAAAACGATCTTCATATGTAATTAGACTGATTGAAATACCATAATGACCATAACGACCTGATCGACCAATACGATGCCTATTTGAAGCAAAAAAAAAAAATTTTTTTTTTTTTTCGACTTTTTCGATTGGTCATTTTTACTTACAAATATGTTTCACTTAATTTCGGAAAATCAAAATTGATAACAACATTCACTGCTTGAATATCAATACCACGTGTAAATAAATCCGAACAAACAAGATTACGACAAAGACCAGTACGAAAATCATGAAATACACGATTACGATGATCTTGTCGCATTTTTGAATGTATATAATAACATGAATAACCAAGATCAGTGATTTTTTTAGCTAAAAGTTCAACACGTTGTGTTGAATTACAGAATATAATCGATTGATTGATTTGTAGCTAGAAAAGAAATTTATTAAAATAAAAGGAAAATTTCTTTTTCGATTATTTACTTTCGAAAATAATGTATTTAAACAATGGACCTTTTGACGTTCTTGTACAAATGCATAATACTGAGTAATACCTAAAAAGAAAAGATATCGATTTTTTAATTAATATTCATATGCAGGATTCTCGATTAGATGGGATGGGGGACTTCTCAACCCCTCTTACAAATTTTACAGCTTCATCGTAGCTTTGAACAGAAAGTGAAATGAAAATAAGTAGATAATATGGTTGCAAGGTGAGTAGGATTTGGGAGGAATGGCCTGACGATAGATCAACTGCGGTGGGAAGGATCGAGTCACGATGGATTTCGTTGTTTCCACCCTAGCCACCATTTCTAGTACTCCGAGGATGAATCACTTTCTGCAGAATTTCTGGCTCTTTGTCATCCCTAAAAAACATGGACAATTCTGTTCATGCGAAAAGTTTCTGAAAATTTT